CATCAATTGGATTTGGTAAACAAGTGTATGAGTCATAAATTAAGTAAGGTGGGATCCAAGGAGAGGCCTAAGTGTAAGTCAATTGGGAAAAATTTCATAATAGGCTAAGATTCCAAAGGTACTTGCACTAGTCCATACTTTGAACGAGAATATCTAAATATGTATAAGGTTTTATGTGATGAATAACCTATCAAATGAAAGGTATTTGAGTCTCGTTTCTAACTCTTCAAACCCTTCGTCATTTGGACATTCCTACACAAAGTAATGATCATATTACCAAAGGCTGGAAAAATGCGATCCTATTCCGAATCTGCGATCGCAAATCTGTCGCATTTTTGACTTTGCGATCGCAGATCTGTCGCAAATTGGGCCAGTGTAGCCCAGTTTTGGGCACCTATTTTGCGATGCATTCTGCGGCCCACATTCTTGGTTTGCGGTCCATTCTGCGATCGCAGACCCGATTTCGGAGGCTTATTTTTCCTATTTTTATAACCCGATCCCATTTTAAAATATAGGCTTTGGGGTTCATTTTGGGGTCATTTCCTACTGATTTTAGAGAGAGATGAGAGCATATAGAGAGAGAAAGGAGGGACCTAGCTTCATAATCACCCATCTCTTGCTCAAGTCTTCAAGAATCAAAGAACCCAATCACATGTTCTTCATCTAACAGGTGAGGTTCTATACATTAGACTTTAATTTCGAGTTTGGGGTATAAGATGGGTTATTGAGGTATGATTCTTGGGTGTAATAGTATTATGTATACATGCATGTACAAATTGGGTTTGTGGGAAGATTGTTGAACATAAATAAGTAAAGATTGGGTTGGGGAATGATGGAAACCTTGTAAAAGAGATTTGAAATCAAGATGCTCAACTAGTATTTGATAAAATGCTCAAATGAGCTGAAACCAAGAATACCTTCCTAATTTGTGTTCAATTTTGTTATGTCTCAAAGTAGATTGGGATTGCTAGAATTTTCGGAATGTCGTAGTAACATAAGAAAGCTTAAACAAAGTATGTATGGCTAAAATCCCGTCTTTTAGAAAATGAGCTTCATCGGTGTTTCTGTGAATATGGTAAGGTTAAAGTTGAATTGTTGCATTGATTGTTATTTTACATGAATTGGTGTTGTAACCTTATATGCTGAAAGATGTGTCTCAACATGATCAACGTGCTACCTTGATAACTTGAAAGGGGCAAAAGATATGAATTATGTATTGAAATGCTTAGACCTTAAATTTAGATTGAAGTTGCATTGTTGTGCCATCTACGTGAAGTCTTATCTATGCTTACAATATAAGTTGCTCTTGTGTGCACCTACGGTCCTAAATGGCAAAGCTAATATTGAAATTGGGAACGATGTAAAATGCGGCCTAGTACCAAGAAATGATGTGATAGTTGTGGCCCCAAGTTCCTATGAAATGATATATGTGAAACAAAGATTGAAACGAGATGATTAATGAGAAGGGAACAATGCCTTGGTAAGGCGGCCTAGCCGATCGGGCCGAGATCGGACTCCGCTCAAGATAGCGGTGGTATTGTGGATGAACTCCGGAAAAAGGGAAAATGAGATTGTGATTGAAGTATATGTCTCAAATGAGGCAACCTAGCTGATCGGGTCGAGATCGGACCTTGCTCAAGATAGCGGTGGTATTGTGGACAAATGATGAATAGTGTGAAATTCCCCAAACTAAAGGCTATGGAAACATGATGTGAAAATTGTATGATTCTTTTATATTGATAATGTTGTGATCGTTTAAAGCTTTTGAGTTATACTTGTGATTTCCTTATTTTTGTATGAAAGTTCTTTCTAACTAGATGGTGTTTAGTTATACATACTAGTGCTTTTCGGTGGCACTAACGTCCCTTTTACCGCAGGCGCTACGTCTTTAAATGGATGTAGGTGTTTCTATTGCAGGCAGTGTTGGTCGCAGCTAGTGCCACATCATCCTTTCAGCTGACTTGGTGAGCCCCACTTCGTTTCGGGGTCCTGTTTCATCTGTTTATCATGTACTTTGTATTTGCGGTATAGCCGGAGCCTTGTTACCGGCATTTCCATATTACATTACTCTTCAGTTGTGTTGAGAGGCTCCGTAGACAGGTTGTGGGTAGCGTCGGGTATTGGAATTAAAGTAGAAACATTGATGTTTGGCAAAGATTTATAAAACTTGTAATATTTTGATAATTATGATTTAAGCTGCTAATGGAAATGAAATGGAAGTTGTTAATGAAATACTTACTAAGTATGATTAATGGAGTCCATATCCTATTTATTCATGAATTAGTTTGGGTAGAATGAAACCTAACAGGCTTGCTCAGTCGGGTTTACTCGGTTGAGCGCCGGTCGTGCTCCTCGGTTTTTGGGGCGTGACAATCGTGTTGCACGCCGCAACAATATTATGTTTGGATCGGGTTGCACGCCGCAACAATAATATAATTGGATCGGGTTGCACGCCGCAACAGTGTTTTTATGATTTGGATCGGGTTGCGCGTCGCTAAAATAGATAATAAAAGTACTTGCTGATTGGTTACGAGTTCCTCATTCTGTTGCTGTGAATTTTAAATTGTTCTTTATACTTTTCTCTTAAATTACTGTTGGTAAATGATACTCCCCCGCAGCATGTCCCCCTCCCATCTTTGCTAGTTTATTTTTGTTTATTTTCCGCTGTATATTATATAACTGCACAGGTTTATTTGGTAGCCTGGTCCTAGCCTCGTCACTACTTCGCCGGGGTTAGGCCAAGCACTTACCAGCATATGGGGTCGGTTGTGCTGATACTACACTCTGCACTGTGTGCAGATCCCGGAGCGGCAGCTTTTGGACCATAGCTTTTGGTGGCTGCCTTCAGTCCAGTCAGAGATTTCAAGGTAGTCCTGCAGGCGTCCGCAGGCCCCGGCATTCTCCTCTCTCTTTATATTCTGTTTTCATTTACTTCAGAGACAGATTGTATCTTTCTTTCCAAACAATTGTTTGTAGTATTCATAGACGGTCCGTGATATTGTGACGCCGGTTCCGGATAGAGATGTACTTGGTATTGTCGTACTTGTTTTTGGCTAAGTTATCAGATTATATCTTTCGCATGTATTTAATTATTGTTAATATTTCACTGTTGATCGCATGTTGATTTAAACTGTTAAAAAGGGATAAATAAAAGAGTTAGTGAATCTATAATACTCGTCTTGCCTAGCTTTCACGAGTAGGCGCCATCGCGACTCCCGAGGGTGGAAAATTCGGGTCGTGACAGTAACTTGCTCAATAATTTAATTTCGAGCATAATTTCCAGATTTTCTATTCAAGAAGTTCATCTTGATAAGTTGGTTTACATCACAGTTGGTTTAGCAAAATGATTTATTGAGTGCCTCCACTTAATAGCTAAACAATTGCTTATGAGAATAAAGTTACCTATATCAGTTTGATATACGTTATATACCAAAGTATATTATTTTCTCTTCTCATAAGTGGTTCAGGGCCAGGAACCAAATAATTCCATCTTATTATTATTCATGTGTGGTGTATATTTTGATTAACACCATAACGCACAAAGATGAGTTCCCAAAGTTGAGGAAGCAAGTTAGTTTTTCTAACATGAGGGGGAGAGATGATAAACATTTGAGAAACAGTTACGCGGAATGAATTATCATTTGTACATCTAGATCCTCGAATAAAATAATATGAACTTGAAGTTCATAAAAAGAATAATTCATTTGCAATATATTCCAAAGCATGCCAGATGCATTTGCTAACCCAAAGAAAGTATGTTTATTCTCATTGCAAATGCTCCTATTAAGTCCTAGAAGGACAAAGTCTATGGTACGCTTAAAGCGTATAGACAAATCGGTTTCAAATAAACTTTTTGATAAAGAAGATGAGCAAATGATCAAAATGATCATAATAAAGGAGGCAAGTGATCTAGAAGATCACATGACATAACACTTCATAAAATCTCAGGAGAGATTCGGGTACCTGAATATATGAATGAAGAGATCTCTATGTTATGTCTATATGAAAATAAGGAGGTTGGAACCGATATAAAATGTTTGTCGACGATATTGATTATAGCGCTAAATATATGTGAGGATCTTAAGTCTAGGAAAACAATTCAAGTAGAATTTGATTTCATATGAAAGGCACGTAGTTTTGGACATATAGTTCAGACACTCGAAAGTATAAAGTCAATAGGCATGTGCAATCACTTTCATGTATTTTATATGTCGGCATGACATGAAAACTTGATATGCATCTAAAGTCTATTTAAATGGCTTATATGACTATACTTATATGACAATCCCCAAAGGATTTAAATTGCTTAAAGCATATACAATTCTTGATCTTGAAGTACCATTTCCTCAGTGCAATTTGTGCACATTTGTATCTTGCTATAACTATAAGCATGATAATGTGATAGCGAGAATTTTCAAGGTTTAACATATTCATTGGAGTTAATATGGCTGATTAAGTCACAAACTCTCTACTGACATCAACCTTCAAGAAGCTAGTGCACAAGATTGGGATGCGAAGGCTCAAAGATGTGAATTGATGCTCTCATCAGGGGGAGTTAATACGCGTTGTAATCTTTTTTCCTCACAAGGTTTTGTTCCACTGGTTTTCCTTGCAAGGTTTTTAACGAGGCAACCAAAATGCGTATTGTTAGATATGTGTACTCTTTTTCCTTCTCTAGATTTTTTTTCCCACTAAGTTTTATTTTAGTTAAGGTTTTAACGAGGCACATTATCTGGTAGATAGACATTCAAGGGAGAGTGTTATAAATAGAGTTTTATTTATGGTGAATGTCTATATTTAGAGAGATTTTAGGGATTATTAGTTGGTGGCTAAGTTACTCTTTCTCTATAAATAGAGAGTTCTATTCCATTATAATTTATCATATATCAATAAGAATTCTTTGTATGTACTTTTATGTGCAATACTCTTTTTCTTGTTTTATTGTTTCATAACATAATAAAATTATTTGTAGTTAATGTTAGATAATCTTATAAAGCAAAAACTTTCCAAAATACTGGAGCCCGAATTCGAAGAGCTTAACATTCTTGCCAAAACCCTGCTTTAACTCTGAGGGGCCAAAACCCTCACCTCCGTCTGCAGTTACGCACTTCTGCTCTCTTTTCTCCGAATCAAACTGTATGTGCTTTTTTTTCCTTTTATCCTCTTGCAGTAATTCTTGATAGTAAGACAAATTTTTATTGAATTGTACTGTAATAACTGTGTTTGCGTCTCTTTTACATGTTCATGTATGTTCTTATTTGCATTACATGTTATAATATTGCTGAAAGTTGTGATGATATACCAATTTTCTTACAAAACCTTTGTGCAGTTAAGTTATAAAGAGTGAGTGCGCACTCATTGTCTCTTAACTAGGGTTGAGTGAGAAAAGATGCAGCACGATGAGGTCATATGGCAAGTTATCAGACACAAGCATTGCAGCTTCATGGCCAAGTCAGATCTTTCTACTTAATTTGATTCTCACTTTATATACCATTTGTTTCTCATCTTTTTCTTTTGCAATATTGACAGAATTGAGACAGGGATATTTTGTCGAAATCCATATAATGTAACTGGGATTTGCAACCGTAGCTCGTGTCCTCTGGCTAATAGTCGGTACGCCACCATTCGGGATCATGATGGTACTTATGCACAGCTTATTCTTGTCATTCTTGAAATTATATACAAGAGGCTATAGCTTCTTCTTTTTTTTCCCATTCATTTTTTAAATATAAGAAAATGGTTGTAATCACGATCCTAGGGCATACAAGATGTATTTGTTAATGGTTTGGCTGGCTGCAATTGGAAAATTGTTTTATTTATGATCATAAATGAATGACTTGGCTGTAATAGAAAAAAGGATTTTTACCTATCGGCTTGTGTTGCTTGTACCCTTCCATTCCTAGAGAGTATTTTATACTAGTGTTAAATGCTAGGTTCTAGTTGAAGATGTTTCTTTGGTTGTGAAGTGCCTGTCCTGTTTACCCCTTTTTGTCTGGCTAATTGACTTGGGGGAATTACCATATACTTGGATTATATTGATTTATCATTTTTCGTCTGGGTTTTAAGCTATGAATCATGAGGGTAATTTAACTTTTTCTTGATGGGATAAGCTAATATGGTCATCCTAAATGTTCTGATATTCATAGTAAAGCTGTCTAAAGAATCTACAGTCTGGTTTCATTGGAGGGTTCTCCAAAACTCCTTGTTTCTGGTTCTATAGTTTTCATTAATGACTGAATTCTTGTAGGAGGAATTAGAATTTTCTTTTGGATCCTCTGAGTTGTTTTTGTGTTATGCAGGAGTGTTCTATTTGTACATGAAAACAATAGAAAGGGCTCACATGCCAAACAAACTTTGGGAAAGAGTTAAATTGCCAAGAAATTACGAAAAGGCTCTTGAAATCATTGATAAACATTTGGTAATGAAATTAACTTTTTTTTCACTTACCGCTGTATGCTTGTTGTTCTTCAAAGCAATAACTTCCCTCCTCCCTCCTTCCCTCTCTCTCAACTACAACAGATGTACTGGCCAAAGTTTCTTGTCCACAAGGCAAAACAAAGATTAACAAAAATGACTCAGATGCGAATAAGAATGAGGAAGCTTGCTTTGAAAACAAGGTTCGGACCTCCCTTCTCATAAATTTGGTTTACAGTTAAAATTCTCTCCTAAACACTTAGATGTAGTTGGTGATTTATTGTGTCTCGAGTTTACTTTTTAATCTTACTCTTTTACGGTCTTGAGCATTATTATAGAGGAAATTTGAGGTGCATGCTTGAAAGTTATACATTCTTGTTTGTTTTACAATCTGGCTCTTCATCCCTTTTCACCTTCTCGCACCCTGGCTTCCAGAAGAACCAATACAAACAAGTAATCTCTTGGCTTGTTAATGAGGCAAAGGATGAGATGACTGCTAGATGCGGTCCAAGTAGACTTGTAGTTAGATGACATTTAGGCGTGGTAAGCTCAAATTTTAATATTTGTTCATTCAGGAGAGAAAGAGCGTGTGATGTTCCATAAGAGCCTCTGTTTATCACATCTTCAATAGCTATACCAATGGACTGCGATATTGGATAACATACACCCAATGTATGCCGAATCATAATTGTCCCGTCTTATCCAGTTAGAATAGTTTAGCTGCAGCTTTTACCCACGATGAATGTACTAGGTTTTAATTTAGTCTCTGGCATATGCAGCTAATCACATCCTCTATGAAAACCCCCCTTTTCCACAATCCCCAACTACTGCCAACCCTTTTCTTCCGTCTTTCCCAATACTGCAACTTCCTAACTGTTCTTGTGGTATCCTTGGTTCTCCTAAGCTGACATGCCTTCCGCATCCACTTGGTCACTGCATCTCCCCACTGTCATTTCTCATAAAAATCCCTCTTCCACTGTCCTAACTAGTTCATGGTCTTCACCCTTTCCCTCTTTGACCCAAAAACCTGCCTCCCCTCTATCCCATAGCCCTACAACTGTTAGAATACCTAATGGTGGTGGAATTGTTTCTGGAATCTGGGTGGAGGGATTTTGCTAAATAGACATACTCTCCCCCTAATTTGGGCCCTTAACACAGGAAGCCTAAAATTGACGGGTAATGAGCTCAATTACCATTTCTGATCATAAGCCTTGTGTCAAGGATGCAATGCCATTGACTTGTAAAACGCAGACTTTTTAAATATAGGGCACAAATTGCAGAGCAAATATGGAAGTACCACGCATAATTTTCTTGGAATTGCATAGTTATTGCTATTTGCAGGGACTCCTCTCTCATTTGACTCGAATTAGATAGTTCTAATAACCTTCCTCTATGATAGTATCCGCGGTCATTGCTGCTGCAAAGGCATGGGCATTCTTTTATTCCTTTCCAGTCTAGATTATGTACACATATATATTTTGTTTTTTGACGACGACGGTGTCATGGCCAGATTATGTACAACATAATCGCCATCGCTGTAATGGTATATTCTTCCAGTTGGTAGTTGATATGATAATGAACTTTTTAACAGTTGCACAGTTTCAAACTTCTCTAGGGGGATCAATCTCCCATGGTAATTAGGTGAGATGGTATTGGAGAATATTCCATTTTATCCTAATTCAAACTAGTACTTGAAAGCTTGCTTTATCCCAAAAAATGTAATGGTAACAGTTGTGTTGAGCTCAAGAACAGTTATAAATTTTCCTCCCATCTTTTTCAGGATGGGACTTGTTTTCTTCCATATTTTGGTATCTCCCCTTGAGGAATTAAATTTTTTGCTTATGGATGTTTGACTGAAAGCATTTTCCTGCACTCGCTATATGCTTTAATTTGTTGCGTCTCCAGGGAGAAGATAATGACCACACCTAGGAAAGAAACGAAAAGAGAATCTCGCCGACAGGAAAAGGCTGAAAAAGCAGCTCTTCTCGATAAAGTAAGTTTAAGCTTGTAATTCTTTCTCTTGTTCGGGGTAGAGCATTTTTTTCCTTAAGTTGGTAGGTCATCTGGCTATTTCCTTTACAAGTCATGCCATTTGTACTCTGCAGAGCATTGAGAAGGAACTGCTGGAACGCCTTTCTAAAGGAGTATATGGGGATATATACAATTATCCTGAGCGGAAGTATCTGGAGATTCTTGGTAGGGAAGCAATGCAGGTGGCTAGCGAAGAAGAAGATGAGGAGGTCTTGATCAAAAGCCCTGTTATGCTGTCTTAAATATTCTCGTTTTTCTAGTTTCCCTTTCTTCTCTTGGTTGCTATCCC